TTCACATTGCTTACATGCATAACATTTTATAGAATACAGGAATAATTGTCTGTTTATCTATCAAAATTAATGACCTTGTATTTATTGTCTAGATCATTGAGCAATGTCTCAAAATTAGAAATGAATAAGCTATATGTTAGAGATGCAAAGCGAAAGAGAAAAGTAACAAAAGGAAACCAAATTGTATTCAATTAATCAATCCTTTACATGTACAATGAATGGGTTTTTATATACCCAACCAACCAATTACAACTAACAAACTAACTTGCTTCTTTACAGCAACTGACTAACTAACTTCCCACACGTGGCATCCACTACTGCAGGGAATGTTTCACACAAAGTCTCTAAGCCATGCAGGGGTCTTCCTCTGCCTTAATGGTCTTGCTGTCTCAACCGCTACTGGATGTGCTTCCCTTATCCCATCATGTGTTTCCTTTACCTCATCATCTGCCCCATCTGCCAAAGGGACCTTGTCCTCAAGGTCTAAATGAGGATAAGCAGTAGCAAGTTCTGAAGCTGGTTCCCAAGAAGCATCTTTAGGAAGGGAATGGGACCATTGGACCAAATCTTCCTTACGTGACTGGTCACCCACCATACGATCCCTAGACATGAGAAAAGCAATGGGCTGCTGAACTGGGTGATTATCAACACTAGCTTCTGGAAGTGAAGGAAGATGTGGTGGAGGCTGACCAGAGAAAGCTTTCAAAACAGAAACATGAAAGATGGGGTGTATACGGGAGTTTTCTGGAAGTGCTACTCGATAAGCTACAGAACTAATAGCACGTTGTATGGGAAAAGGTCCAAAATACCGTTTGGAGAGCTTGTGACTGCCACGACGAGCAACAGAAATTTGTCGGTATGGTTGCAACTTCACTAACACAAAATCACCCTCTTGGAATATGCGTTCATGACGATGCTTATCAGTATATGCTTTCATACAGTTCCTGGCCTGGTCCAGATTGCGTTTAAGGCTAGCAATTAATTCAGCACGCTGTCCTAAATTGAAATCAACAGCTTCAACCGAAGCTTCAGCTGGCAAATAAAAAGGGATCATGGTAGGAATCTTACCAAATAAAGCTTGATAAGGAGACATCTTAATAGATGAATGCACAGCTGTATTATAGTGTAGCTCAGCCCAACACAAAAAGGTGGACCACTGATTATTTTTCTTACTACAAAAAGCCCGCAAATATTGTTCCAGATACCGATTAGTGACCTTCGATTGTCCATCGGTTTGAGGATGATAGGAAGAACTAGTCTTCAATGTAGTACCGCTGATTCGAAACAAATGAACCCAGAAATTGCTAAGAAAAATGTTGTCTCTATCCGAGATGATTGTCTTGGGAAAACCATGATGCTTAACAACCATCGAACAGAACAATTGGGCAACCATAGGTGCATTATACGAAGAGGGAAGACCTCCAAAGTGAGCATGCTTAGTAAAACGATCAACAACAACCAGGATGGTAGATAAACCGTGAGAAATTGGTAAACCGGTGATGAAGTCCATTGTAAGATCTTCATAGGCTCCCTCAGGCACTGGAAGAGGCTGCAATAATCCTTGTGAAGGAATAGGGCCTGACTTCACTTGCTGACAGATGATACAATCATGGACAAAATCTTTGACATCACGACGCATGGATTTCTAGTAAAAAGAGGCTGACAGTCGTAAGAACGTGCGGAGTGCTCCAGCATGTCCTCCTATTGGAGTGGTATGAGCCTCATTAATAAGCTCCAATATGAGAGAAGAGTGTGGTCCCAATAAAAACCGACGGTGATGGAAAAGGAGTCCATCCATAAGAGTGATAGCAGGATCAGGACAATTGCCAATAGAAAGTTGTCCATGGATGGACAAAAGCTCCTGATCATTAGCATTTTCCTCCCGAATGCGTTGCAAGATATCAAATGTAGGGGAAGATATCAGTGCAAGTAACCCAGCAACATCAGTATCCTCAAATTAACGAGATAAAGCATCAGCAACAATATTACTGCTGCCCGATTTAAATTCAATTGAGAAACTATACCCAAGTAATTTGCAAACATAGCGGTGTTGCTCAGGTGTTTGAATAACCTGAGAGAGCAATTCCTTAATGCTACGATGACCAGTTCGGATAATAAACTGACTGCCAAGTAGATACTGTCTCCAACGCTTTACTGCCTCAGTTATGGCGAACAATTCCCTCACATAGGCTGAAGCAACACTCATACGAGGACCAAGCTTTTTACTAAAAAATGCAAGGGGTTTATCACCTTGAAGCAGAACAGCTCCTACACGAGTCATGGATGCATCCGTCTCCACAATAAAAAAAGTAGTAGTGATGGTGACTCAATTTTGGTTCTGTTTACTGCGGAGAAAGAATATTTTCTCACATATTTGGTTCAAGATTTTAACTTTTGAGTGTTGATTAAAGAAAAATTGAGTATTTTTGTTATTATGATTTAGAGAAACTGCAATAAATTTAGGAAATGTTTTAAAATGTACTCCTATATTTGCATTCCAATTCGAATTCTAAATCATGAATCGCTGAGTTGATTAGTTGATAAGTGATTGATTGAAACTGGCAGCTAGACATAGGAATTTTTATGAGAGAGAATGAAATATGGAACTTAGCGAAGTAAGCCACAAGTCCGTGGCAACTCCTTGTTCAGATAGTGCTGTTATTTAAAACCTTATGCATAATATGCTTTGTTTCTTTTATGTATTGCAGAATTTTGAGCTTTTAATCAACGTGTTGTGGCTGTGGTGTTGGATTATATTCAGTGTTAAAAGCAAGGTAATAGGTTGATTAATCCACAAATTATGATACTGTGTCAGTAAACACGGCAGACAACTTCCAACTTTGACTATCTGAATAAGCCATCTATCCAAGTAAGTGTTGTGCAAATTCCATTCTTAAGCAGAGTTTTTGCCTTGTTTTCGTTTATGTATGTATTGATTTTGATTCTTATTCTTGTCCCCATATTATGCTGAATTCTAATCCATGGCTTTAACCTACTTTATTACTCCATAACCATTAATTACAAGAAAATGGACTGATGGTTTCACACTGAGGCTTTTCCAATATAATGTCGTTAAACATAGTACAGACTTTTGGAATGATGCTCGGCATAGTTGTGCTTTAGATTCAGTGTTATCCAATAAATATCCCTTCTGAATTCTGATCAAGTCTGGCAATGTTTCATAATTTCACTAGCACTTTTCACTTGTTTGTTAAAAGAAATTGCGTATCACTTTATCATAAGTTTTTGCTTCATAATGTGTGTTAAAAATATAGGAATGAGGTGCATGCTACTGGTGAGAATGATATTTGAAGTTCTATAAATGTCTTGGAGGACCTCAGCATCCAGCAGTGACGCACGGACACTGACACGGGACACGACACGTCAACACGTTAATTCTAAAAAATGGCATATTTCGACACGTTGGGACACGTTTTGATATTAAATAATACTTTTAATATATATAATATAATTTATATTTAATAGATATAACAGTCCATAATAAGTCATATGACCAATCAAATATTCAAATTTCATAAGATAAATATAAACAAAAATAATTTTTCGTACCTTGTTAATTTTTCATGTCAAATTTCATAACAGAAAAAAATTGATTAATAAATGATTTTTTTTATTTTTAGTTAATATAAGAAAATTAAGACTAAAAAAAAAACGTGTCCGAACGTTGACCACGTGTCCGAAGAAGACTGTGTGTTCGAAAAACGTGTCGAAGCGTTGACCACGTGTCTCAAAATATTGACCGCGTGTCCGAGCGTGTCGGTGTCAGACACGTGTCCGACACGCACGATTCACAAAAAAAGTGTGTGTCCGTGTTTTATAGACTGTAAGCGTACTGTTTCTTTATTAATAATGATGGTACCTAAAATATCATTTGCTATAAAAACAAGGAAAGGCCCTATGGTTATTTGCAAAAGTAACGGTTAAAATTCTTGTAATGAAGATTTGATATACAGGTTTTGGCTGCCAAAAGCTCACTTAGGAAACAATTGATGAGTGATTGGAGACTTTAATTTGAGTCATGTGAGTGCTAAATTTTGTGGTTGGACTTTTTATGGAGTCGAAGTGCTTATTATGACTGCAGATAATCGATGCTGTTGTCGCTGCATATCTTTTGAATGCTACTCTGGTTGTTCTAGAGTTGGATCATACATATTTCTGGAAAGACACCAGGTCCGTCGGTCTTTACTTTTTACTTCTATTAGACATCTCTTATTGGAAGCAAAATTCATCGTATTTCTATTTAGTATGTCGTGGGAGGAAAGTGAAATTCTTATATTTGAAATGCTTACAGAAAATGTTTCTATTAGAACAATATTTGGTTCATTATTTATTATGTTGTGGGAGGAAAGTGAATTCTTATATTTGAAATACTTGCCGAAAATGTTAGTTCATTTTTATATATTTGATTTGATATATAATCAATGATAATTGTTCATTTGAATTTTCAATGTTATGTGATATTATTTAGTACATAGTTTTGATAACTATACTAGAATTCATAGTAAATTTTTTTCCTGATAAATTTATATAATTATGATAAATATTTTAATAATTAAATATGTGAAATTTTTTGGCACCATCTAAATTTTTGGGCTGGCTCCGCCACTGATAACATTTAAATGATAACTTCGAAGCTGGTGGAGATAAGTCATACATGCGGAACTACATAGAATATTGAATGTAAAGTATTTAATTAATAATAATAATAATCTAAAAAATATAATATGTAGGATAAACAAGTATGACATGAAAGTTCATCCCATATTGGGTAAGTTCAACACAATCCCATGATGCATGAGGAGCACTGCCTCACTAAATAAGAAGCAAAGCGAAGTATTGATAACATGAACAAAACAAGCAACTCAAAAGAGCAAGATTCACTATGGCAACTGGCAAGGCCAATGACAATCCTAGATTACGATTCTCCCTCCCAGAATCATAGTAACTCGAGACAACAACAACCTATTTGCACAACCAGTTCAGTTACTGTCTGAATCCGGCTTACAAGCCAGAAAGAAGTACATTGGAGTGAATATCTCTTTCCTGAAAGAAAAAAAAATAACAATCATGTCACATTTTTTAGATTCCTCTGATCGAGAATAATTTTTACAAGTTTGTCTTAATTAATCTTAATATTTAGATCATCAGTATTTCTCTTAATGTTCCTCAGTAGAATAGAGACCTTTCGGTTCGGAAAGTGCCATATTGATGAGAGTTCTTCATATCTAACACATTTTCAATGCTCCCGTATTACGTACCCTTTTATTTCAAGTTGTAAAAAAGTAGGACTCAATGCGATATTAACCATAAGGGAAAGGGTGAAATAAATTCTTTTAGGCAAGTTTTTTTCAAATTTGATAAATAATGTACTGATTTTTCAATATTACTTGAGTATTGAAAATATTTTCATTCATGTGTTAAGAGTATCGTAATTTTAACTCACTGTTGATGAATTATAGAACATGACATTAATGGGACAAATGGGAAACTTACTTTCCACCTTCAACAAGTCCCTCTGAAGCCTTCTCTAGGAGATCATGAACCCTTAGACTCCCCTTTGGAGCTAGTCCAACAAACTCCAGAATCTTAACCTACAAATATAAATTGATAGACCCCAACCAGAATTGAATTTTGAGTAAATACAGAAATCAATCATGACGTGCAACAAAATTATAAAACTCTATAAGGTATCATACCCAGAGGATATCTAAAGTGAAACAAATAATAGAAATATTTATAATCAATACAAATAACAATACCATGGCTTTGGTTAAAATTCGTCCAACTGTTGTTAGACGAAAGCTACTCAATGACAAGTTTTTGTCCAAAGGAAAGTACCAAGGAAGAGGAGAATCCACTGCAAGGTCTTTTTCCCAAATTACCTTCACACAAAAGGAAAGAATCTCCCTTTAGTCAATTAGGTTCATCTCTTAGATATTCGATGAACAATACTAGAGAAAGGTAATATATCTCATAAGAAATTGAAGTTCACCTTAAAACCTGCTTGCTCCAGAGCTTCAAGACACTTTGTGCTCAATCTAATATCAGGAAGCCCATCACCAAATTCAATTTGTGCCTGCTCGAAGGAATTTCATCTTTTGAATTACAAAACAAGAAAAGGATTTAAAAGGCTCAATAGATAACAGGCTTTATATTGTACCTTGATTTTTTGGTGCTCTTGGTTACTCGGATCAAAAGAACTAGCCATGCACCATTCATAAGCAGCAAAACATTTGCCAGGCTTTAACACTCTATATATCTCTTTATAACATTGGTACTGTTCATGATTCCATAACAAGTGTCAGAGAATACAAATTATAAACACCATTTTGTAGATTTGTTGTTAACAAATGCACTCCATGCTATTATGCATGGCCACATTAAAAGTTGGTCCATACTACTTGACAATTTACGAGTGCATGAGTATATAGAATTGAATATGAACTAGCTAGAGCAACGAAGCGAAACTAATTAAGAGTGTGAAATACTGTCACATACAATATCTGATGCATGGCAGGTGGCTTCAATCGCATACACTGCATCGAAACTATTGTCAGGGAATGGCATTTGCATGAAGTCAGCCTGCAATATAAAATATGATTGATGATAGTCATGTGAGTTATAATTCTAATTGGATATCATATGATTATGAGCACAAGTTTGGTTATCCTTAATTTAAAATAGTTTTTTCGCCCAAAGTTCCCCGAACATTTTGATTACAAGCTTTTGTGAACACAAAATAAACCACTACTCAATTAAACCCGAATAGCGAGTGTGGGTGAGGGCAATTCTTATGCACAGCCTTATCAATTCTTATGCACAACCTTATCTTTGCAAATAATTACAAAGAAACTATTTTCCGGATTCAAATATGTGACATTTCAGTCACAAAAGAACAGTTTTATCGCTGCTTCAGTTTGTCCTCTGTTTCGGAACACAAAATATGCTAATAAATCCATATATACTAAATAAAATATAGTGTAAGATATGATTGGAGTAGAACACTTTTACAACACATTGGACGTGCTAACAAAAGGCCTCCCACTCCCAAAAAAAAAAGGAAATAACTGATTTACAAAAGATCAACCTTGACAAAGTTGCAAGTCTTGTCCACTCCAGCTTTGCGATTGAGTTCCTGTTAATTAGCAAACTTCTATAAGTGATCAAATGAATTTAGAATTTTTATTTTGTCATGTACTGTCATGTTTTAATAAAATATGGAGAATCCAAATAATTCTTTAATCAAGGCTTTTAAGAATTGTCCAACTAACAGGATATTTAACATGAGATACCTAGTGTATTAAATTAGGGAACGGTTAACTTTACAACTCTTACACCCTCAATTACGTGGGAGTACAAATAATTGATAGTATATTACTAGTTGAGGTTGTAAGAGTTGTAAATGTAACATGCCTCATTAAATTAATACTCAAAAGACTTTCAATATTACACCTAAGCCAAGTGTCTTGAACCAAATCACAAAACTTAAATTGTTAGACGAAGAAATATGAATGATTTTATATTATATTTTCAACGTGCCCTCTCCTATCATAACATTTTTTATTTGAAGCATAAACAATGCATAAATCCACTAACCTCGTGTTGAGAGTTGCAAAGATATATTGAATTTTATATTGCTTAATCATAAACTCTCAGATATAATGTAATAAATTATTTATCCCAAAGAGACATCTCTAGTACCTACAAAGACTATATAACAAATAGACATGATGATTGAACTAGAAAGTCAAAATAGCTATGTCCAAGCATTACAATTTACACCTCTCAAAATTGTTGTGTCAATGCATTTAATCTCATAATACCTTTCCTCTTGTTATTTGGTACTCATTGTTATTCAACCCTGTAATTGATGTCAAGCTGCACAAGTACCTCTCAATGATTTTGTTAGCCAGAAACTGTAAAGGAAGGAAGGGCAAAGGAAGTGGAAGCCTAAACGAAGCAAGTCCTATTTACCTGAATCGAGAAATTTCTCTTAATGGTCCTCCAATTCCACATCCAACATCCAAAATCTAAAACAAGATAAAAAGGCTCAAGAATTTATATTAAATAACATACTTTAAATTAATGAACATGAAAACCTTCTGTCCTGGCCTAAGGCCAAGTTGTAAAGCAATGAAGTGCTCATGTCGCTTGATGCTCTCTCCAAAAGATTCCCCTTTCCATCTGCATAAGAAGAAAATTATCAGCACGATAAACTTAACAACATATTATTTAATTTGCAAGTGAAAAATAAAGCATATGGATACCTGTTTGAAAAATGGAAAGATTCCCCCCAACCATATTCATAAAAGCTAGTAACAAGATCGTAGTATTTCATAACCTGAAAACATTTTCTGACCATATTAAATTCATTTTGCATATAACCATATACACTACAATGAAGACTAGAAAAAGCTATTCCCCAACTTCACAAATTATAAGTTATAAACAATATCACATGCGTGATGAAAGAGGATAATTAAGAAAAAAATAGATTTCCAGAAGTTCATCATCTCAACACGAACTTGGCTAAATAACCAATCTAACTACCTAAATATTCAAAATAATAGTTTGGATATTGTTTCTTTGTTATATCAATTGCATATCTCGGATTATAATCATTTTAGTAAGGGAAAAGTGTGTATCATTTTAAAGGATGTAAAGTTGTGTCATTTTAAATGAGAGAAAGAGATAGATAAAGAAAGAGAAAGAGTGGACAGAAAAATATAAAGGTGTGGGTCTCACCTCTTTGTGAGAGTGAAAAGATATAAGTTGTGTCATCTAGAAGGACAAACACTTTTACCTTTTAGTAATTCCAAAAATAAAGAAATCTTTACCTTTATTGAAAAAGAGTAAACGTAGAAATCGTTAAAAATGAGGCAAGAAATATAGTAGTATGCATCTGACAAGAAGATTAGGGCCATATATATATGTTGCAGGTACAAAAATAATAAAAGTTAAATTTTTGTTGCTGAATATATATTAATATTATCGCTCACCATGTCATTGCAATTAGCTTTCCTTTCTTCCTCTTGACCTCCATAGCAACCATGATACTTCTCATACCTGAACCATAAGATCAATACATTTTATTAGGCTCATATATAAAGAAATTAAAATTATTATGATGATTAACCACAAACTCATATATTGCCAAATGGCAATAGTTATATATTTTACCCCCGAATATTGCACTCATCCATATATAGATAAATAGCTAAAAAAAATTAGTCCAATATTCGATATTATTGGGCAGATAATTAGTCAACATTTTCTTTCTTTCTTTTTTGTTTTTACAGCTTGAGGATCACAGATTTGTCTAGGTACAAATATAGAAGAGCATTCTTGATTTTTTTTCCCATTCAAATTTGCCTAACAATTATTAGCATTTTTATATAAAAATAATATTCATTAGAATCCTCTATTTTGCATTCAACTAAATAAATAAATAAATACCATACCCAAATTTCATAGTGAACAATAAAGTAATAAACTCCTTTATACTAGATCCCATAGCAGCAGCACCAAAGCAATTCTTCATTTTTTTTATTCCAATTGTCTAAATAATAAGTACTGGAGTTGTTATACTTAACAACAATTTAGGCTTATCAATCCTACTATCACTTTGACTATTGTTGGATTAGATTTAGATAAACGGCTGCAAATAATTTTTTTTCTCTTCAATTTAGATTGTTAATCTATATATGTTCCAACGGTAATTAAATAAGCCTAAATCAATGGTAAGTATATCTATCCAATAATTGTAGCATTTTCATAACAAAAAAAAAAAACATTTTGATTTTATTAAATATCTTGACTTACACAACACTTATGTTGCAAGATTCAAGTCTTAACAACTAAATTAAATCAAAATTCTCATAGTCTAACAACTGAGAACTAAGGAAATAAAAAAAGAATAAAGTAAAGGAGTAAGTAACTATCACCTGAACCTCATTTTGAACTGAAAAACTAAGACAGAAAGTCTACAATCACACAATGAGAGCAGAAAATTTAAAAAGAAAGAGAGAAATATACTTCTCAACTTCTGAGAGAACTTCATCTTTGTCAATCTTGCCACCAACGTTCAACATCAAATCCATAGCTGCAGCTTGCAGTGTCTTTCCTGAAACTCAAAATGGCATCCTCGTTTGGGTCTAAACACACATAATTTATATAAAAAAAAAAATTGGAAAAAGAAAAGCGTGAGAATCATGCATGGTTCGAAAAACAATGAGAAAACGGAAATGCATGCATGGAAAATGTGCTTTGGGGAGGGGGGGGTGAATATCACAACACTCACGTTAAAATAGTTGTGTACGTGTGGGAGAAAAGTATGAGAAAACGAAAGCCTTTGGGCGATGAATGAGGAGGTTAAAAGGAAGAAAGTAGAGTGAATACAAAAATGAAAAGGCTGAACAGAACAGAGTGAGTTAGGGGAACGTGTTTGTGGGAACTTAGTTTGGTTGTGTTGTGGACGTTTGCGATCAACAAAGAACGTGAATGATCAACTTGAGTTGGCAAAAGTAACGGACAATTATAACTGTTATAATAATTTTTTTGAGATAGGATTGTATTATTCAATTTTTTTAAGGGAAAGGTTCACTTCATCATTTTAAATTTTTTGTTTAGACCCATTATGATTATATAATATATTATCGGTTTAGTCTATAACCTTTAAAAGAATATAAGGTTGTGTTATTTTAGCAATTATAACTATGCATTTCTCAGAATGCATAATTATAATATTAAAGTTATTTTTTTTTCTTATTAAAAGTTGTTTGTTGATGTGAAAAGTAAAAAAAAAAATATAACTTTAATATTTTAACTATCATTCCTAGAAATGCATAGTTAAAAAACTGAGTCTGTGTCCTTTAAAATGACACTTCTTTTTCTCATATATTATTTAGCCCTTCAATGCCAAAAATGTACTTATTATAAAAACTGCCAAAAACATCCTTAATATATAAAATATTAAATTTTAAACAAAATATTACAAATACCTAAGTAAAAAATATGGGAAAAGAAATGTGTGAGAATCATGCATGGTTCTAACGACAATGGGAAAAGGGAAATACATGCACTCAAGATGGGCATTGCAAGGCACTACTAAAAAAACATCAATTAGAGACGGAATTATTCCGTCTCTAAGTGAAATATTTCCGTCACTAAGTAGATTAGTGACGAAATTAGGGATGGACAAAAATTTGTTACATTATGGCTCGTCACTATCAAGTGGAGACGGAATTATGAATCTGTCCCTAATAGAGACGAATTTTAGGACGGAACAAATTCGTCTCTATCTGAGACGGAAAAAATTATATCACTATTAGAGACAGAAATATTTCCCTCCCTGATAGTGATGGATAAATCTGTCCCTGTGATATTATTTTCTGTCACTAATTTATGCACGTGAAATATGTGTAATCTGTTCCTATTAGGGACGGAAGTTGTTAGGGACGGAAGTTGTTCGTCTCTGTTAGTGATGGATTTTTTCCCTCTTTGTTAGTGACAAACAATTTTCCGTCTTTGTTAGTGATGGATAATTTTCATCTCTGTTAGGGACAAATATTTTTCCTTTCTGTTTGTGATGGATATTTTCCCTCTCTGTTAGTGATGGATTGTTTTTGTCTCAGTTACTAAGAGAAATTTTTTCTCTATTAGTAATATATTATTTCTATCTCTATTAATGACTGTTTTCCATCCCAATTGGTGACATATATTTCTGTCTTTATTTTTCGTCCCTAATATTTGAATTTTTTTCAAAATCAATTACATTGAAAATTTAATTTTTACCGAAACCTAATATTAATTATAATCTAATATTCTTACAGCAAATCCAACTGACACAAAATGTAAAGTAGCTATACTAAATGAAAATAAAGATCAAATCAAATCCAACCATTGTAATACAATAAGTTTACGTGAATTCATAAAAAATAAAAAATGTATGAGATAACAAGCAATATTCACAAATGAAATAAGAAAAGGAAATATGCATGTTATCAATTATCATCATGCAACTGAGCATCACTATCATCATCATAATCATCACTCTGTGCATCTAGCGTCGAAGTCATAGTAGTGGATGTGCGCACATCTCCTCATAAACGAGCCATCAACATCGCCAGCTGCTCTTTCATAATTGTCATCTCTCGGTCTGTTTTCTTTTTCATAACAGTCATTTGTTTCTGTGTGTTCTCATATTTCTGCTTCAGCTGCTCATTTTGGTTGGATAAGCTTGTGACCAAGTCTCTCATGTGATTATACTCACATGTTGAGACTCCTGACGAGCTAGCATAAATCTTTGTGGACTTATAATTCCACGCCTCTGCACCTAAACCATATATTCGACCTTGTTCATACCACCAATAGCTTGCAATAATAACACTTCATCAGATTGACAAGTGGATGTCTCTGCCCCAACCGCCAATGCATTATCACGATCAGTCCTTCGCTTCAAAAAGTGCTCCTAAAATTACAAAAATTACATTAGTTATCACTTAATGAGTAGTGTATACTGATATAAAAAATATGTACATACAAAATTAAACAATTATCACATTCCTTAAATTGATGATACCAATTGTCTCCCACTGCCTTGCGAACCTATTTAAACTCATCCTCAAATGGAATACACAAGCGGTTCTTACTGTGTTGTATCCTTCGTGAAGTCGTAGTATTAACCACAAGATAAAGATGTTATTATCTGCCTCCTATTAAATATGGCATTGCACTATTGCAGAGACCAAATAATTAAAGGAGTTTACTACCTAAGATTTTAGCTACATGTGATTCTGCAGCGTGATGAGTGCCTCCTATAAGTGGTACAAAGATTAAGATACAACGAACAGCGAAAATGTATTTACATTCACGTGTATGTATCAAACTACTAAAATCCTATCAAGTTTAAAATAAAAAACCAATGAGAAAATACACATAATTGTCTTTTTGCAATTGGAAGAAATTTTATCCCAATCAATATTTTATACAATAAGCAAACTAGTATTTATTCAGCTTGGAAGATACAACCAAGGTTCCAAAACTTAATCTGATATTAAAAGATTGATTTAGAAACGGGAAATAGCGAACAAAAATAGGACTGATAATTAGGGGTAGGAATCGGTGGTGATGGAGAAAGACAAACCAACAATATACTCAGATCTGATAGATATACCATTTGGAGAAGAAAAAAGGTTTACCTTTGGTTTGTACGTTTCTGATTGCTTCTATGAGGAAAGCTAGACTAGCAGCATAGATGAAAGCAAAAGAAGACAGCTTTAAGGGTGCAGTGGAATGGAAATAGCATAGAATCCTTCCAACATGCTACAAGAAAGTATAAATGAATGAGAAAAAATAAATCTTGAAGATATATACTATTCAGCGTGTTCACAGTTGGCAATAGCATACATAAAGCTTATGGCATTAAATCCAAAAAAAAAAAAAGCTTATGGCATTTTAACATCCTGGTATCATACATAGAGTATTTTTACCTTCTTTCAAAAGACCCAAAAATTAAAAAGAAAAAACAGATAGAGCAACTAAGACGTTATCTTTTTGTGTTAGGTGGCGTGATAAACCAAAAGGATTAAATATAAAGAACAGAAAGAAAAAATAATGTGTACCTGCGTGTTGAGAAAAAGGATGGTTTCAAAGCTGGAATGATAATTTTGAGTGGCAAATCCAGAAACTGTGTTGAGAACGGGGATGGTTACAAAGCTGGAATGGTGGTTGTGTGTGGTAGATGCAAAAGTGATGTGGGCTATGAGAATGGTGAGAGAACAAACAATAAAATTGAAAGGCGGGAATCAGGATTTGGAGGTGGGAATGAACTGAAACAGTAAAAAACATGGGAAAGAAGTTTTGGAGGGATTGAAAAAAATAATCTTTATTTAAATAATATCTCATACAATATGAATTTGATTGTCGTCTCTTTATTTAGTTTTTATCTATATAAAATTTTCAATCTTGTGTGTAATTTATGGGTTTTGTTTTTAATCAAATTGTTAAAAAAATTCCAAAAATTAGAGTTCGCGCTCTTTAAAAAATGGCAGAAATAAGCATGCTTTAATAAGTTAATATTACGATCCAAGTTCACTTTTTTTAAGCAAATAAAAATCTTCGTTTTTACATATAAAAGCAGATAAGAATGTATTTATAATTTAAATTTTGTTATGATTTTTACATACTAAGATTCAAAATAATTCCAAAAATCATTACTTAAGTCACTCTTTATCAATTTTCTCCCAACTAATTAAACTATTACGTACAACATCCTAATGTTTTTGATTAGTTTCTTTTTCAACTGACTGTACGCTTTAATTCAATGAGGGGTGAAAGAGAAATTATATGCTCTTTAATTTCAACTTACTGTACGGTTTTTTTTTCAACTTACTGTACATTTTTTTAGGATAAATTATATGCTCTTTAATTCAAAGAGATAATAATTTTATTTTGCTAATTGCTTCAACTATGCTCAATGGATACTCAACTTTCAGTATCAAAAAGATAGGGAGGTGGAGAGAAATTAGGGGGATGATGTGAGTGGGAAGTTAACAAATCTTATCTTTTTATTTTCAATTATTTTTTAATTTTTAATACAAGTTAGATTCTCTTAAATAATTTTTAAACGATAACATGGGTTAATACTTTTTAAGATGGGTTAATTTTTTAATATTTTTAAACGATAGAATAAAGGTTAATAGATTTTAAACGATAACATGGGTTTTTTTAATACTTTTTAATATATTTATACATGTTTTTCGGTTAATACTTTTTGTATTTAATTATTATGTATTTCATTCCACTTTCGGTTAATACTTTTTAAACAACACCATTTTTTAATACTTAATTTTATTATGTAATTTGTTCTGTCCTTGAGACAGAGATGTCCAGCCCAATAGGCTGGTGCGTTTATCTTGGATCTAGTGCCCTCTCCAAGGTATCTATGAATGAGATACCCTTGAGTCAAGCAGATCACTATGCACAGAATACTATAACGGCGTTAGCCAATGGGGTGTGTGTGCGCACAATGACAACATAACAGTAAGAGAGAGAACCCACGTACCTTTAGGGTTTACCTTGTATTTATAGAGGTTACCTGTGGGTA